AGACCTGTTCTATGTATTTACATATGTAGAAATGTACCCAGAAAAACGTGCTGTTGGGGGGTGGGTGCTTTCTTGTCTCTTGGATGGTGGTTTTTCCATCTCTTTCACACTGTACACTGGGCAGATACCAAGAAGAGAAACTGCTGGGTCACAGGGTATGTGCAATAAAAGATTTATTTGCTACCACCAAATTGCCCATGTTATCCATAAAATATTCTTCCAGAGAAATGAACGGATTTAAAAGTGTAGAATAATATGATCACATTGCTGTGAGGGTGGGAACAGGCTAGAGAGAAGGGACTAAAGACAAGGAGGCAGGGAGAGCCCCGTAATAATCAAAAGTGCTGAACGTCAATTAGGGACTGAACCAGGGTCCAGATAGTAGGACTAGACAGGAGTGAGGGCAAACAACGAGAAGTTACCAGTATCTATTAGATTTGGCAATCAGGAGGTCATTAGTGACCCGGGCAAAAACAGCTATAGTAGGTTTTTAATGGACGGGTATGACATTTAGGCAGTTAAGGTCTCCAGTACTGTTACTCTGTTTGGACATGGAGACTGGGTAAACTTTAACTTTAAAATTTTTTATTTAATGTGGTTAAAATCTTATTTTTACAGGGGGCCGGGCCTGTGGCGCAAGCGGTTAAGTGCGCCTGCTCTGCTGCGGCAGCCCAGGGTTCACCAGTTCGGATCCCAGGCATGCACCGACGCACCTCTTGTCAAGCCATGCTGTGGTGGCGTCCCATATAAAGTGGAGGAAGATGGGCATGGAGTTAGCCCAGGACCAGTCTTCCTCAGTAAAAAGAGGAGGATTGGCAGATGTTAGCTCAGGGCCGATCTTCCTCACATACACACAAAAAAATCTTATTTTTACAATGGAAAGAATTTGAGGGATGAAACAAAAGATACTAGACTCTGGGTTGTGCTTTGGATGCTGTTCTCTCCATCACCACCGATCCCAAACCACTTAGTTAATACTCTTCACTTGGACTTCTACCCTGGCTGTGAGACCGGAAGTGCCAGACGGGCAATGAAGAATTGGTCTGACTTCTCCGACACGCACAGTTACCTCCTTACCTCTCCAGATCTACTAGTCTCTATCCTGACAACTCCGGGCACACTTCTCAGATAGGCTTCTAGTGTAGGGGAGCCTAACTGCTTGAAGGGGATCCAGTCTCCAGTCAAGGATCTGTACTCTCCTTGGAGCCGGGGTAATGCTATTCCGTTTTTATGAGACTGTAGAACAGCTCGCAGCATTTTTGAAACCAGATCTGCTTCCAGCATCTTCACCTATAAGAACACAGTAGAAGGTTACTATAATATGATTCATTAGTCTGTGAATTCAAGTAGATTTTCAGAATTTACATTTAGATTATTCATAAATTGTTACGGAAAACGTTCTGTGCTATTACAATAGAGGGAAATAACTGCTGTGGTAGAGAAAAGCACAGAATACTATGAGAACACAGGGGAAGTCAGAAGGGCACAGATGAGCCTGGGGAGGGAAGACATCAGGGGATGTTTCCCAGATGAAGGGAGGCCTGACGGAGAGGGGATGTTTCCCAGATGAAGAGAGGCCTGAACGGAGTCCTGAAGGGCAAGATGGAATCAGCCAGGCAAGGAGGAAAAGGGTGTGTGGCGGGTGGGGATGGGGAGAGGTATCAGCTCCAAGTAAAGGGAACACAGAGTTCACAAGGCATAGAGGTGAGAGAGAAGTACATGGTTGGTTCTGAGAATTCCAGGCAGTTAAGTGGCTGGACCTGACTGAACAGAGACTCCAACCTGAGGACTGAAAGACGAGGATGGGAGAGGTGAGAAGAGGCAGACCCAGAAGAGACACTACATTATGCTAACATGTTTGCATTTTTGCCAAACATAATGTGGGACCTTAGAGGGATTTTAAATAGGGGAATGAAGTGGTCAACTCTGCATTTCAGAGAGATTCCCCACTACTCAGCAGTGGGGAAGATAAATGGGAAGGAGAAAGATTAATACGTTGTAAGAACACCGGGAAATGTGGAGGACCTGAAAACAGGGCCTTGGGAATAAACAAAAAAATCAACTTGAGAGGTAATTAGGAGGTGAATCAATAGGGATTGATTAGCTGGTGTGGATGATGAGGGAGGTTCCCAAGTTTCTAGAAGCACAGTGGATAGTAATGACCCCCACTGAGGTGGGGTAGAGGCAGGTCTGCAAGAGAGGAAGAGCGTGAATTCATCCTGGACATATGGAGGTTGGGATGCTCGTAGGGCAGCCCTGTAGATATATTCACTAGGAACTTAGGTTAGAGGTCTGAGCTGGTTACGGACTTGTTGGTCTTCAGCATATATGTGGTATTTGGTGTCCAGGGAGGCAAAAACAAGGTTAAGGATGGACCTCTGTGGAAAGCTGTCATTTAAGGCATGGGCAGAGAAAGAAGAGCCTTTAAAAGGCTAAGAAAAAGCAACCAGAGAGACAGAAGTAGAAAAGGCAGAGTCAGCATCATATAAACAAAAAGAAGAAAGAACCACGAAGAATGGCCTATTCAAAGGTGTCATACACAGCGGACAGGTCAAGTGAGAGAAAAACTGAAAAATGACTACTGAATATTTGCTACCTAGGAAACCCATGGGGACCCTGGGTAAGGATTTTCATCGGTCAGCAACAGGTATTTTTCAAGATTAACCACTCATATTTTCTTTGGATTAATGGTAAATAGAACAGAGGTACATTCAGAGAATGACATTCAAGCAGCCAGAAAAAGTGGACTTAGCCTTTCATTAAAGGAAGGAAAAAGGCAAGCCTTGTTAATTTTTCCTTCAACAGTGCTATCCAATAGAACCTTCTGTGCTATGGACATATTTTATATCTGCACTGTCCAATACTATAGCCACTAGCCACATGTGGCCACTAAGCACTTGAAAGGTGGCAGCATGACTGAGGACCTGAATTTTTAATTTAATTTAAATTAAAGGGGCCGGCCCCGTGGCTTAGTGGTTAAGTGCGTGCGCTCTGCTGCTGGCAGCCCGAGTTCGGATCCCGGGCGCGCACTGACACACCGCTTCTCTGGCCACGCTGAGGCCGCGTCCCACATACAGCAACTAGAAGAATGTGCAGCTATGACATACAACTATCTACTGGGGATTTGGGGGGAAAAATAAATAAATAAAATCTTTAAAAAAAAATAATAAATTAAACATGGCTAGTGGATACTATATGGGACAGCATAGAATGCTAGACAGTCTTGTTCTTTCTCTGGTTTAGAAAACAGAAAGGAGGAATAGCATACAATTCTAGCAATTTCCTCATTTGTCCCTTTTAAAAAAGAGACAAAGTATCAGCTCACTTGTGGGTGCTTTTAATTATAAATATGATACTCAAATGACAGCAAGGTTTAAAGGCAAATAACCTAAGTATTCATTATGCACTTCTCTCTACTAAATATTAATTCTTTTCAAATTGTCACCACCAGCACCAACATTTAATTAATACTATTAATTAAATAGTACATAGTCTAGGAAAGTCCTATACTAGGTCCATATTCTCATTCTTCCTATAGATAGATAGATAGATGGATAGACAGACACACACACACATATAATTATATATTAAAATCCTGATTTAGGTATAATTTATATACAATAAAACTCCCTCATCTTCTGTGTAGTGTATACTGAGTTTTGAAAAAATATATACACCCAGATAATGATCATCACAATCAAGATACAGACTTTTCCATCACCAAAAAAGTTCCCTCATGTGGGGTGCATAAGATATGAAAAAGTAAAATGCACAACAAAAACAGCATGAAGAATGAGAGAGAAGAACTGGAAGTACACCATTGGAAGGTTCCTATACTATACACGAAGTAGTATAGCATTATTTGAAAGGGGAATATGATAAAGACATATATTGTAAACCTAATGGCAACCACTATTTTTTTAAAGAGGTACAATAAGCCAGTAGTAAAGACAAAACAGAATAAAAGATTCAATCAAAAGGCAAATAGAAATAAAAAAAAAAATTAGGGGGCTGGCCCCATGGCTTAGCGGTTAAGTGCACGTGCTCCGCTACTGGC